TGCAGCCGCGCGATACAGGGACCGAGCGACTGCGACAAATCGAACTCATTCCCTGATCGCTGAAAACAGCTGTAAAAAAGCTCTTTTTGAAAGCGATTGATTTTGCAGTCATGCGACTAATGACTCGCGTCGCGATGTATGAACGCTGTCTCAAAGGCCAACACTTCAGCGTTCAGTAGTGAAAGCCGAATTTTCATACCATTTTGAGTTGACAGTCAGAAAATTCCACTTGTAGTTATTGAAGGCTTCTTTCAAGTGTATTAAATAATTCTTTGTAAAGCAGAAACACACCGGACGACAATTTACATAACATATATTACGCAACGTAATTGTACAATTTGAGATCTTGAGCATCTCTCGCTAAGTAATCTCGTTCAATCAAAGATTCTATCCTTTTCTTGATCAGAATTGGATTTGGGAGGAATCGATGCTTCAGCTGTTGCGTGACCTGTAACTCAATATGGATAAATGTATATTAAGTTTAACTATATTCAAGGGCGATTTTTTCTGGATATCTTTTAGGATGAGGCGGAGGTGGTGTAGTGACAAGTGGCGCGCTTACCACTCGCGGCGCCGGGTTCGAATCCCGGGTCGACTCCCGCCCAGGCCAACCAAGCCTTCTACCCTCCGGGGACGGTAAATTGGTACCAGATTCGTCTGGGAGGATAAAACACTGACTTGTATGGCCACCGCAAGTCATTGTATAGGCCACATCGCATTCAATAAGCCACTACGATTCTGAATGGAAGTAGAATGCGTGCCGCATCCCACAAAGGGATTGATCAACGGCGAAGACTTTATCCTTTATCCTTTAATGGGACTAGAATTGCCAATTTCAATTACATATAGTCCCCATTCCTGACAATGATTACCTGCTAGTGATTCAGAACGCACTGTATACCACACCCTAGGCCAGATTGAACTTGCCCTCCTCGACTGCACTTTTAAGCTTGCTGTAGAACTCAAATCGGTATGAGCAAATACCATGTGATACCTTTTTACGATGTGCAAAGCAATCACAGTAATTCACAGTCTATAGTTGAACATTTCGATTTTCACTGGAAAAGTTTCGTTGAAAAAGTAAGTAGTGCTGCTTAGGAATGCAGTCGACGTGCAGTACACTCCATATCCCAGAGATGAAGAGGGCTTAGCTGCGCAGTTCGTTCAAACGTGATGGCGGGTCGCACTTTTGGGCTATGCAGTTCTGGGAAAACTGGTTGATCAACGTCTTTGTTGAACAGGCACACTGCTGGCACTGCCGGGCCTTCACGAAAACGGAGTTCGCTACGCATTGTGTGACAGTACGCTACTAACACCACTCCAATTACGAGATAACAAAAGGTAAAATATATGACACTTCCGCAGAGCTGTTGAGCACGCTCCTGCGTTCAAAGTAGTGGGTTGTGCCCTCACAATACCATGACAAGATTTCGTCATCATACCAAATCTGCCCGAAAAAGCAGAATCTTTCCCCCCCCCCCCAACGAAATGCTCCATGACAGGAACTCATGTTTGAAAACCGAGCTTGTATGTGCATGAGGCTAAGCAAAGGGCGTCGGTTGAGTCCCCTTTTGATGTTATCAGCTTCCTGCTCGTTGACGAAGGATTGCACTTTCCTCAAGCATTTTTAGTTCATTGAGAGTAGTTACCACCTTCTATGACTTCCGGGCAAGCGATTAAAGAAGATAGAAGAAGTAAGAAGAAGAAGAAGAAGTAAGAAGAGAGAAGAAAGGAAGAGACCACAGACACTGAGTTGCTTAATCTAGTTCTTTTGAGTGCTCCTACCGCGTTAAGTCTGTAGGCGTGCAGTCTGGACCTCTGAAGATCTCATTTTTTCTCCTCTCTGCCCTCTGTTGAGTCCTATTTACTCACCCCTGAACTACACAATATTCTTGGGATCCTGCTACACATCAAATTCTTGGAAATTCGCGCTACACATCGCAAGAAATCGCTATGGTCTTATCCTAATTCGTTTGTCCATCACTAGCCCCGTTCTGCTGCCTGTTGGAAATTTTTCCGCAAAAAATGATTGCGCTCCATTACTCCTTTTTGTCACAAAAAACCTTATGAACTAGAATTACCTCTGTAATTAGATTATTGTGATGCAATACTTTTCTTGACTTCATGACACGAACAATCGCAGCTTCAGATTTTCGTGATTGTCTGTCGTCGATCTTAACTGAAAAAACAATTTCGTGATAGAAAGGCACTAATTTTTGAATAGACACCTCAAACCGTTCTATAAGTATTGAATAGTAGTGAGTATTCTTTAATGAGCATTAGTGAGTATTCTAGAATGATATAAAGAGAATTGTGCAATTGAAAATTGTTTGCCGCCATGCGTATACTTCCCAGAAATATCTAGCTCTGGCAAGAGAAGCTTGAGTAAGTGTGTTGACTTCATCACCAACTTACCTCCCCCACCTCTGCACGTGAATAATAATCTAGTTACAACTAAGCTTTCAAAAAGCATACACACAATTTTTGAAATCACACTGTGTCACTTGACGTCCCACTCCATTCTGCCTACCTACTCAAAATAAACACAACCGGTTAGGAGTTTCACCTTCCCCATATGAATAACAGTCAATTACTTGCTTCTTGTTTCTTTCTTTTCCGGCTCGCATTCTCCCTTAACGTTCACCAGCTGAACTTTGATTCGAGTTAATTTTGATTGAAAGTTGTCATTGACAAGGAATTCATCCGTAGCATCTGCAACAAACGACCTTCAATGAGCTTCATACTGACACTTGACGTTACTGCTAAAAAAATTTACACGTAAAGAACGCTCTTTGATCTCTTCTGGCGCAGTTTCGGCTTGGTGGGAGCGCCAAGTGGTGGTCAGCAAACATTATGCAGGCCATCCCCGCAAAGATGCCTCCCTCCTCGTTCACTCCCCTATGCCAAACAGTGTCAATGTTCTTTTGCATTCCTGTTGCCCTTGAAGGGGACTTTCCGAGAATAAGCAGCTCCCAAAACGGCGAATGAATGGTAGTTCAATACGCGTAAAGTTTGGCATGTAAGAACGACCTCAACATAAACAGCCATAAACAGAAACTGGTGCTCTCACTTTACCTAGCAACATTTTCTTGCTACACAGCCTTTCACGACATCGTTCCGACTATCCACTCTATTAGCATACCTAGACCATCAAGAACAGCTTCGGGGATTAATTGGCGCTCATTGAGAAGTACAGTTCGACAAAATAAGCATGACTCAAGTCATACAAGATGCCTGCAACAAAGAAGGACAGAAGGAGCTGCATGCAACATGGTTCTCGAGAAGCGCAAACGGCATAGGTCAGGAGGTCCACTTTGCGGCTACAGAAATGGTCATCGCGGTCAAGCGCGTTTACGCATCTTCGTTGCAGGCCGTAGTGCCTCTGCCGAGTAGACTGCACTTCCTGCAACACCGTTTGGGTAGCAAGCGACGCCTCGCACGCAAGAGAAGTGTTGTGGCGGTTGGAAGTTGAGTGTCAAAGTAATGGGAAGCACTGATGTTACTCGAGATGAAAGTCCTCAATCAAAAAGTACAGAAACTGCCAATACCAGTCAAAGCTTTCATCCCATTCAGACCAAATGGTAGGAGACTGATCTGGGAAAATGGAAAACAGCGGTACGCAACCACACTCATACGTCACTGCGATTCTGACTGGAAGCATTCCAAAAGTGGTTTGATCAACTCCGAAGCTTTATTCAATTGAAGAGTTCTTTGAGAATCTGATGATGCTTAGTAAACCCCTCATTCTGGGCTACTTTGATTGACATCTTCGCCACGTTTTGATTACCTGGCACCTAGGACCACCGTCACTGTTTAGACTGTAATTCCCAGCTAAGTCAACAACCTTCCGTCTCGACAAAGCTTAGCAAGGGAATATGGCCTTTCGCCTCACAACACTCACTATGAGCAAACCTTTACAGATAGTAGAGCATATACAGAAATTCTATATGTAAAAGAAAGCTCACCAATATCTTTTCCTTTTCCTTTTCGGCACAAAACTCGTTGGGCCGGTTTACCCA